TGTATATTAGTTTCTTCTTCCAAACACAATGGGAGATATATTAAGCAAAGCGATACTCCACTTTTTTTGGAAATAGGCTCGTTTTACAACTCCCCCAGAGTTAAACAGTTGAGTTTTACCGTTTTCGAATCCATTCAGCCGATTTTCTGATTTTTAGAAGTATATCAGTATACAGACAGTTTCTGGTCTCATTGACTTCCATAGTATTTATTTTTTTTTTTTCAGAAACTGTCTGGTTACTGATATTCTTCTAAAAATCAGAAAATCGGCTGAATGGATTCGAAAACGGTAAAACTCAACTGTTTAACTCTGGGGGAGTTGTAAAACGAGCCTATTTCCAAAAAAAGTGGAGTATCCCTTTAAGCAAATATCCTGGCTCTTCCAAGCTTTTAATGGGAGTGAATGGTTGCTTAGATTTTGAAGTCCAAAAAAGCACATCCGTTCATCATAAAACTAATCCATACGACTTCAGAGGGTTAATAAAGGCCTTTTCTAAGAAAACATATCCATATTTACAGCTTTATACACTATTAATAACTGGCTTCCAGTAATGGCCAATGAAAGTCGAGTTCCGGTCGAAGAGTGACCTCTGACCCAACGCACTGACGAATGCGGACAAACCGCCGATCACAAATTAGAAGTCTAAAATTTCAATATAAGAGAAGAGGAGATTGAGTTTGTTGCCCAGTCCTATTTGTTGAACTGCGAGAGGCGTCTACACTCACCTAAGCTTATTACTCCTAAATCATACGTCATGTCATGTGTCAGGTCAGAGGTCACTCAACTCGACTCACATACTGCCGTTACCGTAAACCAGAAACTATAAATTTGGATATTTCTCTTACAAAAACACATCTCTTCTCTACAGAAGGCCTTTATTTACCCCCTGGAGCCGTATGGAGCACTCTTATGATGGAAGGATGATGGCGCTTTTTTTGGGTCATTTTTCACTGCCATTTTAATACAACTCTGATTGTGTTTGGCTGAAAGAAGAAACTCATATACACTTAGGATGGCTTGAGGGTGAGTAAATTATGGAATACATTCATTTTTGAGTGAACTAACCATTTAGAGGAAACTATAAGGGCTTGTTCACACATGTTAAAACAGCTAGAAGGCGTGTGTTTACCATCTAATGCTAATATATACACTTAAAGGGATACTTCACCTCAGGAAAGATGAATGTGAATTTAAAATGGGCCATTTGTGTAGAAGAAATGTGAAATTAATTTTGAATTTGGAGCTTTCTAGACTGAGATAAGAGAGAAAATGTATTTTTGGCTTATGTGGATGAAAGACAACAACTCCCAGAATGCACTTGCTTCGCTGCCCTAGGAGGCCACACCTACCGGTAACAGAGCGCAGTAGTTAAACAACAAGTCTAGGCTACTAGTGAGTCTCCATGATGAGTCTGCCCAAAAAATGTGTTTCGAGATCGCCCAAAATGTCCGGGATTCGGCTTTTGCATTCTACAGTCGCCATTCATCATGTTTACTGTGAAAAGCCGGACGACTGAGGGCCGCGGGAGAACGGTGCGAGGCCGGTGGCGTGATTACCGATAAAAGACACCTGTGAGACACACCGGTCTCGTATCTCTCACGGAGGAGCGGGAATTTTCTTAGCAATGTTAAAACGCACATCAACCGATCACTTGTTTAGCGTTCATGTAAACACTACATTCAGATTCACCAATCGGAATGAATTCAGTTAGATTGAAACAAAAGCTGTGCATGTCAACAATGAATGGCGACCGCAGAAAGCAAAAGCTGAATCCCGGGTATTTTGTACGATCTCGACGGCCGGAAATGTGCGGGAAAAAGAGGACGGTAACCCCTAAAGTTACTACTCAGCTTTCTCCACAGAACAAGAGCCTGCTAGCTTAGCTTCCAGAAAAGATGGCTGACACTATGTGTTCATTCTGTGAGGACAGCTCCTACTGACTGTATTCTTTACCCTCTGGCCAAAAAATCCTCCGATAACGAAAATGATGACAAAAAATACATAAATCTCTCGTGTCAGGGGCATATGAGGTTGGAAAACATGGTAACCTGAAAATACTACAGGTTTCCTGCAAATACAAAGCTTAATGCTAAATCCTGAAGTATCCCTTTAAGATGATTAAAACTGAAAATGAGCTTCTGCTATGAAAAGTTGGGTGAACGACTCCTAATGTGATTCTCCTTGGAAAGCAATTACATTTGGATCAAAACTCACTTGCAGGTATTTTCACATTTGGCTCCGCTGTTGTACTCATCAGTTGTATCGCAGCAATCTGCGGGGAGAACATATGTTAAATGCAATGCCATTTAATTCCATTCGGCGAAAGACTGCTGAGGAGACATATCCAGATGCGGAGTCATCTTACCACAGATGCCATCATTAATACGGGAGGATGGGATAAAGGTGGGCCTGTAACCAGCATTGGTGCAATGGAAGCTGCCATTCGGACAAGCAGCAGTGCCTGATAATAACAGACATGAACAACTGTCAAGCACATCATTTCCACGACACCATCAAACTATAATTTATAACCACTTTCTACCCGGCATAGACAATTCTGACATCTGACATACTTGCCCTCGTGCCCCATAGGCTTTTTTTCTTGCACAGAAAGAAGATAATTAGCAGAATGTCTAAACTGTTTTTTCCCTGCACACGATAAAAGTGAATGGGGACCAGAAGCAGCCATGGTCTACATTTACATTTATTGTATGAAAAAGAACAGCTTGTGTATCCTGTTTGATACAGTTTGTGTTCTGTGCAAGAAAGAGAGGGTCTGAATTATCATTATTTGGTACTCCCTACGGCTTATCACTTTGCACACTTTATCCAAATACACTAATGTTAATCTATAAATGAACATACTTTGTTCTCATTTTTTTTAACCAATAAGGTTTGTCCAATAAGGAGTATCACGCAAAGTATGTTTGAGTTCAATGTGTCTTAAAAAAAATGTGATCTGTCAATACCTGGCTCGTCTGAACCATCTTTGCAGTCACAGTAGTCATCATTCACTCGGTCAAAAGGAATGGTCCGTGATCCATCGAGACAGGTGAAAGGCTTGTTCTCCTCATAAAACTGTTTCTCTTTATGCATTTAAACAAAAGAAAGTATGAGTTAAACCAAAACCATTGCACGTTTAATAGAGAATCTGCAATATATGATATAACTTTACTTGTCAGTGGTACTCCTCGTGGCCGTTGAATCTCTACAGGTGTCCCAAAGCTGACAGCAAAGACCAAAGTCAAAAGCAGGTGTATGCAGGCCATGATGCCTTGGGAAATGAGGGATAACGTTAAATGCAAACTCCCACTAGAGGCGCGTGACCTTGGAGCAAAGAATACACAATGTATTGTTCAACTGAACACAGGGAATCTAACCCCATCATAAATATAATTCTCATACAAATGGTTTAAAAACGACTAAACAAATTAACATTTCTATGAGATAAGTACGTCTTTAAAATGTCTTATTCGCAGCATCCTAGTTAATTCAATTTGAAATGGCTTCCGCACACACGGCCAACTGATCATTACCGAAATTCTCACTTATCTGAAATGTTAAACAATATAGTATCACGATACAAAGTAAGACGTTTTAATAAGCATTGCGTACATCAAATATGCGATTGAAGGATGAGTCAAAGATATCTAAAATAATTAATTGTACAACAGTAACTCATTTACTTACTTCCGTAGAGTGCTCCTGCACCCAGTGTGTTACGTCACCAGGATGAGCGGTGTTTTCATATGATTGGTGGACTGGATTCATGTGGCGGAGTACAGCATTGTGGGTAATGCAGTCATTGAAAAACACACCGCCGATTTCCAAGATTTATCGTGTGTGCGTGTGTGTGTGTAAAACATCGATAATAAGGTTCATAATAAATCAATATACGTACATTTAGGCAAAAGCGTCCCACCACCGTATTATACAGACAAATTATGCATCCAACACTGACAGGAAAAAATGCCATTCCACAATTTTAAACAGTAGCCTATCGTGTTAAAATATAAAGAGCTTTTTAAAAAAGCTAGTCTAAAACATAGACTTTAAAAAATAAAATTCTAAAAACGTTCTTTTTTTTTTCAACAAAAATTAACGTTTGTAAGGATACAAGTTTGTAATATTTTGGGAGATTCATATCTGTGAAAGTTTCCCCCACATTTTCAGGACCTTAGCTATCGTTAGTTGGATATGGTCTGATTATTAGCAATGTCACAAGGTGGATACGAAAAGGCCATTAGGATGGAACAGGAACAGTTACATGCAGGTGAGTGACATTTATGGTAAGAGGAAATATTGGATTTTAAATGTACAGTACCCTATTTACCCCTTGCATACAACGGTTAAGGTTTAGTCCCATTGTTTAGTCCCAGTTGTAACATTTAACAAGTGTAACAAGAGCACATTGTAATAAAGTTCAATTAAAATACACACACACACACACACACACACACACACACACACACACACACACACACACACACACACACACACACACACACACACTTTAAACACACTCTCTTATCTTTTTAACAATGATATATATATATATATATATATATATATATATATATATATATATATATATATATACATATATATGTATACATGGTAATTGTTTCATTTGAAATTAAAAGAGTCACAGGACATACAGGTTCAGAGTGTTTAAAATAATAAGCTAATAATATGTTGAATTAAAATAATATACAGTAATTTAATAACTTAATAAGAATGTTAGTCTCTAAATATTGTCAGTCTGTAGGGGTCAGTAAAGTGTCACTGTTGAGCAAAACAGCCTGTACTGCATCATAATAACTGACATTTTTGCTGAGTACCATTTCATTCTATAAGCAGATGGTTGCTAAATATTTTAAATAGTGTTCACTGTCATGAGTTGTATAATGATGATACACACAGATCAGCCTCATTGAATGGTGTTATTACTGTAATATGAGGCTGGACATGGACAAAAAGAAAACAGAAAAACACAGATATTGCATTTATTAGAAAAATCGTCCTTTATTTGTATTTTCAACACACTTTACAGTACTGAACAGTTAAAGAAAAAAATATACTGGTATATATTTATATATTTGTGTTTTTATATATAGCCGTTTGCTTATTAAATGCATTTTATTCACAAAATGACAACTCAGTTCTCTCAGAGGAAAACCTTTCATAAAAATAATATAATATAAAATAACTTGGACACATTATACACATTACAGCAATATAATGTACAAATCTTACAATCATTTTCCTGTGTTTTCTTTTTCATTTCTATTATTACCATAACCTGTGAACAAGTAACATATTATTTAAAGCCCAGAGAATAATTTCATTGGAGAGTCTCATGAGGCATGACTTTAAAGTACAAAGAAAAACTATTCTCTGATTAAGCATCTTTCTGACTGTCTCTTGGTCATTAACCTCACAGAAGTACAGTATTTCAAACCCCCATTAAAAGCCTTTACAGTGCAGATTATTGACACAGAGTAGCCGATGTTGCTCACAGCTTCAGCAGGAAATGCCGTCGAGGACCAAAAAAGACGACATTTGGGCCAAGCCATTTAAAGTGCTCCCCCTGTGCCATGCCATACCATTCCCCTTGATGTCAGCCATCTCACAACACCTTTCTACAGACAAAATAAAGTGCTGGTAAAGACAAGTTTTATAAATAACTGATGATGATTAGTCTGTTTTCCAATACAATTCAAATATTCACATTTAAAGGTGATGAGAGGTTGACTAAAATCCCCCAAATCAATGGCAGGAGAAAGAAAGGGGACGGCCTATTCAACTACACTTCATTACAACTAAAAGTGACTCATTGTGACAGTGATCGATTCCGAGAGATCTCAAAATTTACAATTCAACATTACAGTATATACAAAACAAGCAGTGATTTCGTCTACTATTTATATTAGTAGTTTGGATTCTTAAACCATCAAACCAGAATGATACAAAAATAAAAACTGTACACAAACTGTTCAAAGAAAACACTTGTTTTTTTTTCCTTTTGATATCCAAAAAGAATGGCAGCAAGGAATTAATTTGAATAATTTCTTAATAAGAAACAATTGCTACAGTGTCGTGTTAAAATGGCAAATATTATTTGTTAGCGTAGTGCTCACAACATTAACGAAAGCCACACAACAAAGCATTGTAAGGTAAGACATGGGCAAATGGAATGGGAATGACGTTAGCTTGCACAAACCAATCGTGTAACGAAATGAAAATCCATTCCATGACATCCCCTAATCCCGTCACAGACAAGTACACTTTTCATCTATGTACTAGTTTCACTGCTCTGACAGACAGAGGCTTGAGTAAAGCTAAGCTACTGACCAGCAGAAACTAGCTTGTCATCATATTTCAAGAGGAATGCTTACAAACGCTGCCCCTCAATATAGCAACAATTGGTTTATTAAACTGAACTACGACCAAACTAAAAATGCTCTGAGATGAGAGAGAGGCAATATTGCAAAAATCAAACATCAACCTGAGAACTCTCTCATTCTCTTACTTTCTGTCTCTCTCTTTCTGCCTTGGTGAAAAGTCAAACAGACATCACGAAAAGATACGACCTGCTTCCTCTGTATGAACCGTCTGCTATTGTTTATTTGCCATGCAGAAAAAAACAACAACAAAAAACTACCCTACGCCTCCAGATGGAGCTATTGTGCACTCACAGACATTTAGCAAGGCATATATAGACATGAAACAAGTAGTCTGGGATATAATGCCAACATCTTATTATTCAACAATGTGACAGGTAGAAACCCTGCAGTTGACATTAAGGCAAAAAACTCAATATGGCTGCACGTGACTCTTTCGCTAATCATTTGCTTCTCCAACTTATCAGCTAAGCACTCGTTCCTTTGGCAAAACGTAATGTGGTGTGTTGTGGCGTAGACAGAGAATGTATTACCAGCGTGAGTGGGTGAAGGTGAGAGAGTCTGTGCTGCGATTGAGGAGACTGTTACTTTTACAAATTTGGCAGGAACGGATTTAACAAAACAAAACAAAAAGAAGGCAAAACATATGCTTCAAAGCGTCACATGGCTTATCCTCGGAAAGTGACTATCATTTATTATTCGCATGGAAAGTGAGGGCAGTCCATGAGCGGTGACGGTGCTAAATCCTAATGCTCGGTTGACAGATGAAAGCAGGAATTATCACAAAGACGATGTCGGCACAAACCGCGATCGATGGAGATTGCTTAAAAAGAGAACGAGACAATCAAAGATGACGACAAAAGCAGACACTCCTGTCCCATGATGCATTGCTTCACAACAGCTCCAGAGGTGAAGCTGGTGGTTCAGAAAGGCACACAGCCATCTTGCACCGGTAGCACTCCTGGGTAAAGGGTAAGAGAGGGTGGGACCAGCTAATCCTTCCGACATCCTCATTTTGGACAGCAGATGCAACTGTGTTCTCGCTATGACAGAAATTGACAAAAAAAAAAAAAAAAGTCGCTCAGATTTCGGAGGATTTAAGTCCCTGTTGGAATGCTTTCAAAGCTGATTATTGACACTGATGCTCCTTCTTGAGATGGCTTTTTCCCCAAAGAGATTTCTTTCAGGCCCCCTGAACACATACGCAGACACACAGCCTGCGTCGTTGTTTTGCGGTCGAAATTCACGTACAGTACGTCTGCGAATGTGTGTATGCGTATGTGTGCAAATTCCAGAGTGCTACACTGACGTAATGGCCCTTTACAAACCCCACGCCATAATTCTGTTTCTCCATCCGAATTCACCCTCGCTGCTGGATGGACTCCAGCTCACGCTCGTAATCTACAGTTGCTGTGTTAAATACTTCTCTGATATCAATATTATTTTGTTCCCTTTTTGAAAAATAAAATGAAACGTCTTATTGGATCGGTGCGCACGACTTCATCTGTTTATCTAGCTATCAGAAACAGAAGAGTCCTATGTGAACGGTAGGGTTTCTGAAGGAGTCGCACGTATTACGTGTCGTCGGTTGGAGAGGACGACTTCTCCTCTTCCGTCTCCTCCACGGGGCTCTCATCGGACTGTCTCTCGTCCTCCTCCTCGACTACTGACTGAACCTGCAGTCTCCTCCGTCCCGACCTCTCGACCGCTACCTCCTCCCCATCCTCCATTTGTTCTTCCGCCTCAGCCTCCACCGCCTCCTCGTCTCCTTTGTCCGCCTCCTGACCGTGGTTGCCTATGTGGTTGTGACTGGGAGAGCCGACCTGTCCTGTTTCTCCCTCCAGTGTGAGCTGAAACTGGAATTTGCTCGTGCAGGATTCAAGCTCGTTTTCTGGGCCGTCAGGCGGTGGTGACGGGCTCTGGGGAATGGTGCTTTGGTACCAGTCCCGGTTGTCCTCAAGGGTGTCCAAAATTTCCTGAGCATCAGGGTGGACCAAGTCCCCCCAGGTCTCCCACAGGGGATGCACAATATAATCGATAAAGCCCACCTAAATCAGGAAAGCCAACATACAGACTCTTTAGGAGCAGCTAATGTCAGAGAAGGTTGAGAATTCATGTTTGTGTGGGTGTTTATGTGTGTACCTGACTCTTTTCCACAGACGCAGTGTGTTTGTCACACATGGGGCTGATTTCCATCCCACGCTCTCGCTCTTTATCGCCCTGCCGGAAGAACTCCTCCATAATGCGCTCAGTCCACTGCCTGTACACTGCCAGGGGCTTCGTTGGGTTACTAAGGTCAGCACAGTGCACCATGTTCCTCAGGACCTACACACACACACACACACACACACTTGTGACTAAGACGTTTCTCTTTTCTCTTTTCTCTTTTCTGGTCTGCACTTACAGGCACATGTCATTTTCGACGTTTTGTGTTTTGTTACATTATAAAGAAACACGTTTGTTGGTAATCACCTGTATTCGGTCATTATAATGGTCCAGCATCAGCACTCCTGAACTGGTCACTTTCTTGGTCTCCACCATTGTCTTAAGATCTGCCAGCAAGCTCATATGCTTTGACATGTCTGTTGCCAGAACCTAAGAAGGCGAGCGGCACCATTTACACAGCAAATAAAAGTGTAGACCCTCAGAAATGTCAAAAATAATCTAAAGTTTAGTGTAGTGCAATGAGCATCTAACCATGTCAATGACCAGCTTGCGCAGACTCTGCCGTTGCCGTTTGGTGAGGTTCTGAAAGATGTCACAGTTCTCCTCATGTAGAAGCTTGAAGCCTACAGCCAGGTGGTGGTTCTCCAGTACAGATTCATCGTTGTACATTAATGCCAATTCTGAGTCTGTGAAACAGAGCAGGCTATTAGTGGATTTCATGGCTCAACAGCAAGGATTGCCCACTGGGCCCATTGAGAGCCTAAGTCCCGCCCCTCCGCTTCCGGCTCATGGGACCTTATTTTGGAAAAAATATGTGTGGTGGTAGTCGATGGCGAGAGACGACTTATCTTTTTATTCCGTCTGAACTGTGCCCTCAATTACACATGATGTTTGTCAATTTAAAAAAATAATTCTGAAAGTCAAAACGTCACAGTTTGTCATAAAACAGAAGAGTAACATTTAGTTGTATGTGAAAATCGCTCTGTGAACTACATCTCCCGGGAAGCGAAACAACGAGCAAGATCCGCTGTTCGTGTGTGTGCAGTCTGGTACAAAACACTCAGGCATGACGGCGTAACGTTACGATTATAACGTAAGATTATAGAAACAATGACACACATTAGCTTTAGTAAAGTTAGCTTCATTCATTGAGAGAAAATGTGTGCCTTTGGGGTTTGTAGTCTTAGTAATTACGTATTTTCAGTCTTATACCTCAATGGTTTTACAACCATCAAACTGCGACTTTCTTGACTTTAAAATGTATCTTTCAAATTGACAAACATCATATGTGTAATTCAGGGCACATTTCAAACGAGATCAAAATATTTGTTGTCTTTCGTCATTGACTACCATACAATATTTTTCCGAAATAAGGTCCCATGGTGGAGTTTTTGGCCAATACTGAATACTGAAAAGCATAGGCCTACATTCATTGATTTTCTACATACATTTTTATGCCCTGGAAATGTATTCGGCAGTTCTCGCTAGTTAGACACAAGGTGTCGTCTCTTATTGCTCAATTATTTTAATCTAAACTTTGATTTTTTTTTTTTTGTTAAAATAAAATAAAAATTAATTCAAAGGAAACTTAAGAAAATAAGGGAATTGATTTACACGCTTTATTAATTAGTTCAGACTAAAATAAAGGACACGTGAAAAGTGGGGTGGCAGAGTAGACCCTTAATTGAAAGGTTGATGAACTGCACATATGTCTTCTATTGGGTACAGTACTTAAAAAAACAAGCATTTTAGAAAATATATACAGTAGTATTGTTGCTGATTTTGTTCTCAGATACAGGATATTTTTCTCTGTATCTTTCCACATTCCATGGCTAGCCAAGTTATCAATATAATTATCTATAATTACCCCATTTCCAAAAGATTTGATTTGAATAGTTAATTCTCTTGAACCTTTATTTAACTGATTAAAGTACAAAGAAAATATTTCCAAAGTCTTTACTGACTAACTTAATTGTATTTTTGTAAATATAAACAAACTTTGATTTTGATGGCTGGAACACACTCCAAAACAGTTGAGAAAGAGGCAAAATAAAAGTGAAAAAAACAGTTTTGACAGTCCACACAATTAGCATACAAATTTGTAATTGGTGAGGGTATTGTGATTGGGTATAAAAGTATCCACCAAAGGCCCATTTGCAAGCAAAGATGGGTCATGGTTCAGCACTTTGTGGCAAATTTCATGAGAGAATTTTCAAACAATTCGAAAATCACATTTCTCAATGCAAGATTGGAGCAAACTTAGGTCTTTCACCATACCACCCTAACGAAAAAGAAGTTTATTTAAGTGTGCTATTAGTATACTTCTTTTAAACAAAAAAATACACTTTCAGGCTATGTTTACACGGAAACGATTCTGAAGAGAAAACGCAAAAGTGGCGTTGCGTCATCACTTTTTATTCTGCTTTTAGACGAGCGTTTTGTGTGGGAAATCCACATGCAAATAGAGTGCCGAAGTGATGACGTCACTTTGTAGGACAACCCGGAAGCTAGCGGCGCATGGGTTCCCTCGGTAGAAAAGCAATGCATTTTCCCCATAGACTTTTGGAAAATCGCAAAAAATAAGATCTGTGTTTAACAAAGGGTTGTGACCCTTACAAGTTTTGTCTAGCAAGATAATCTTTACAAGTTAATCCAAAATGTATACATTTTGAAGCCTATATAAAGATTTTAAAAAACACAATCAGACACAATAAAGTTTAAAAAACCACAAGCAGGTTATAACTGTGTGTTCTATATCAGAGATCAAAACGTGAAAATATTTAGAGGCTTTGTTCACCAGAGACCTTATTTCAGGCGATTTAGCAAAAACCCATTCGAAAATCCCATAGGCTTTAGAGCGAGGGAACCGTAATGCTAAAATGCTAACTCGCTTCCGCGTTTTGGCCTACAGAGTGACGTCGTAACTTCGCCACTCAAGTGTGTGAAATTCAATGTACAACAACACCAAGTCCACGCGCCTGCGTACAACCTTCACTGTCAAGCAAACTTTTGCGTTTTTACCGTTTACACGGGAATGCGGCGGCGGAGCGTTTTTAAGATTTCCACTCTAGAGGGTGGTTTCACTTTTTTGCGTTTTTAAGCCTCAAAAACGCCATCGCCGTGTAAACGAAAGGCACATCCGATAAAATATTTTTACGTTTTCACCCGCGAGCGTTCTCGTGTAAACGGGGCCTAAGTCTACTTTTTAGGTCCTTCTCATCGATATAGTTTGTGTACTTTAAATGTTTAAATGTTATTTTTCTAAATTGCATTTCACAGTTAAGACACTTGCGATTGCATTTCCGCAATCGATTGTGAAGTTGGCCCTGCGATGCAAAACGTCGAAATAATAAAATACGTGCTCCAAATAAAATAGTCTTGTTCGTTTGTGCTGGTTAAAGTTTTGTTTGTGCTGCTTCGGTTTTTAAGATATTAGGCCTGGACATTTAATTACAGGTGTTGATGTCACCAGCCCCCGACCTGCTCCACATTCACCCAAAATAGTCTTCTATGAATTTGACCCATCAGATTCCGTGACCCTACTGTAGGCTACCTAAAGATTTATCAATATGATCAATAATTAAATAGAAATGGAAGATGAGTCACTTTGTTGAACATTACAGTCAGTTTTGAAGAAATAAAGAGTGGTCACAATTTTCGGTGTGAATCTCAGAGTTATAGGCCAATGCATTTGTAAAGAAAAACTGTATAATCTCCAATATTATTGGGTAGTTAATAGTAGTAAGAATAAAGATAAGCATATCAGACAATGAGAAAATTTAATACAAAGCGAAACCATCAATAACACAGTCCAGCATCAGACAAGAACAGCGCAGCATAGATTGTTCACACCAAACGGGTGTCGCCGCCTGTTAAAGCAGAAAATGATCCCATCGCACTGGTTCTATCACCTGCAGATGCGTAATAGTCTTCAGAAACACTACCATTTCTCTGTTCACGCTTCACTTCATCTGCCAGTGAATTTTACGCTCGTATCTGCTCTGCTGTGTTTCATTCCAACACCTCAAAACACTTAACAGATAGCCTATGTTTACCTGTTGTCGAGGAGGGGGCCAACTTCACGCTGTGATTGACAACGTGGGAGGGGGCGGGAAGCTGATCGGGGAGCAAAATGCATTGTCATTTTGCATATTACATTTCAAATTGAATACTACCCATGTGTTTCCATAGTACATAGGAATTTACTTCTACATTTATTGACTGAATTTTCCAGCAATCCATGTTTTCACTGTAATATGGTAGTATTACGCAGGCATCTTCTGAAATAGTACCGAATCTCCAGATCAAAACACAGGTGAAGAAGAAGCAGAAACAAGCGGTTGAAGATTGCTTGCGCTAATGTAAGAGAACATGATCCTCAAACTTTAAACAGCATATAAATCAAACCTACTACATGTCGAACCTATGAAGAAAAAATGACTCTCTGTTCCATCTCTGTTTTGATCATCATTCTGAATCCAATCCGGACGTAGACTTTGACAAAAATGCGATTTTCTCAGCTTTTTGATTAAAATGTTGCTTTTTTTAATGAAACTTACCCAGATTCAAGAGAAGCTAGAATAAAATATAAATGGAAAGAGTTAAAGTATATATATATATTTTTTCAATTATAAAAACATTAATACCTAAATAGGAACATAGTATACTTAAAGGGTTAGTTCACCCAAAAATGAAAATTAAGTCATTAATTACTCACCCCCATGCTGTACCAACCCCGTAAGACCTTCGTTCGTCTTCGCAACACAAATGAAGATATTTTTGATTAAATTTGAGAGCTGTCTCACTACCACATTGGCTCCTAAGGGACTGCCTCTTGACGGCCCAGAAAGTCAATGAAGAAAATGTTTAAATATCCCAAGTGACTACCGTGACTCAACTATATGTTTATCAAGCGACGAGAATACTTTTTGTGCGAAAAAACAAACAAAAATAACGAGTTTATTCGACTATTCCTTTTCTTCCTTGTTGACCTGAGACGAGATTTCCTTAGATTTCCACGACGCATGCGCGAGAATTGCGATCTCCTTACACTACTTCAGGAAATCCACCAGTACCATTGGAATTAAAAACATTATTACAAGCTTACCTTTTTTATATTGAGCTAAGGCAAGCAGATAGTTTTGAACACTGGCTGGTTATGTACTCAACAAAAAAAAAAAAAAAAATTGATAATTTTTAACCCCAAAAAGTTACGGAGTGGAGCTTTAAAGTTCAAAAATAATAATAAAAAAAAATAGTAAACTATAAGTATGGTTATGTTCACTTATAAAACTACAAAAATAGTAGTTTACTGAGAGTACACACATTCATAAACTAAAAATGTGCTACAAATATTTAACTAGTAACTATAAGTTCACTTGTAATATAGTTGCAGTGCAAAAAAAACAACAACTTAGTTTTAAATTAGTTGTGTACTTAAAGTTTACTAGTACTGTTTACTTTACTTATAGTACACATACAAGTATACTTTTATAGTCTAAAAAGTGGGCCAATTTAGTCCCAAGCAGTATTGAAACAGTACACTTACAAGTATACTTCGATTACATTGATATTAGTATACTTACTACATAAAGTATACTTAAAATAAACTGACTGAAACTAAATTGAACTTCACTAAAGTATACTTAATAAAATGAACTTGAAGTACACTTGATTTTCCTAAGGGCATACATTATATTGTAAAAAGATTCAGGGAATCCAGAGAAATCCCAGTCCATGTGGGGCAAGGCCGGAAACCTCTGTTAAATATGTGTGACCATTGCATGAGAAACGTTTACTGTGTTAAATATAATCAAATTGGCTCGGGAAAACTGTTGTCCCTTGTGTGCTGTGGTCACGAGTCCATGTTTCAGCTTGTTTTTGCAAAAAAAAAAAACGTCAAAAGGGACAATCTAGACTTTGAATGGCGACAGGTTGGCAAACCTCTGGGGGTGGATCAGTGCAAACAGTATTTTCATGCGTGTGATGGTACCACTGACATTGAGATTGTACAGAGATATTGAATGGCATCAAGATGACATCTTTCTTGGGAAGTGTCATTCTGCATGTGCTACTACAGAGTGGTTTCGTAAAAATTCTACACCAGTCCAGTGTATGCAGTCCAATCTCCTATTGAAATGTGTGACCCATCATGAAAAGGAGAACCACAACGATGCCCACAGACACAGAGCAGGCAAAAAATCCACTTGCAAAAATGCAACAATTGGTATCCTCAATTCCCATTAAAAACTGTTTCCCTGATTAACAGGAAAGGAGATGTGACACTGTCCCAACTTTTTTGGAGTGTGTTGCATCCATCAAAATCCAAAATGTGTGTTTATTTACAAAATACAATTAGTGACACCATTTTTTTGGGCTTTTGTCAGTTAAATAAAGGTTAATAGACTCTTGATTGTATTGCATTTTACAAAATGTCCCAACTTTTATGGAAATGGAGTTGTAGCTGACTAACACAATTTAGATTTTGACAAAGGACTTGTGATGGTCTTGGACACAATTATTACATTTTATTTAATATAATTTCTAGCAAATATTAAAATACATTGTTAAAATAAAAAATGGATGTTTACTTTATGACGTGGCCCATTGAAAAAGCAAAATTCATTTGTATGCCCTGTGCTGCCCCAGTTAAACCAGTTCTTAGATGTCTAACTCACCAAAATTAACATCACATTCATTTGAAATGCATGTTTTTGTCATATAATACTTGTCAAATGATCAGGGCTGCGTTTCTCAAACCATCTTGAGCTAAGTTGATGGTAGAAACCATTATTGTCAATAGTTGCTTTTGGGAAACGCAGGCTAGGATGATTCATCAGCCTCATAATTTTTTATAATGTATACTCACTGGTGTTGATGAGGAACTGGTTGGAAACTCCAGGGTGGTCTACATCATGAATGGCAGCAGCGAACAATGCAGCCAGGATTTCAAGATCAGTGAAAACAGCCTGGTGGGAAGATACAGGAGTACATTACAATGGTCAATATGTATAGTGTCGGTGCTGACTTTGAAATCTTGATTTCAGATTATGAAACTTTTTGCTTCTGAATGAGCAGCATTGGCTCTCCCATGTTAGCATATACTCACGTCCAGTGCCGGTGTGGAGAGCAGCACGTGCGTTGACTGTGTGACATCGGCGGCATGCAGGCTGTTGTGATAGGCCACGTTGGCATGGTAGTGGTCTTCCAGTGTCATTACATAGGTGATAAACGTATCCACTGGGATCCCAAATGTCTTCAATAGATCCCTTTCCTTTAATGCGTTGCAGAACATAGACAAAACATAGTGAATGGTCAATGAAAAGAGGTTTGCTATTGTAACTAGTAGTTTAGATGGGTATATTTCAGTTGTAATGTCTATTATGCTGAGAAATTATTTCTCTGCTAATGCTTATACAGCGCAGAGTTTCATGGGAAGTGAAAACATATTTCCACATAGCCACTGAAGAAAAGGCATTGAGTAAAAGATTGATTTTGGTATTGTAAGGACTCGATATATCGATTGTTCAAATGGAGACAATTGGAAAAATCTATATTTTTACCCATTTCTAATAATAATGAGCAGGCAAACCCACACCGACATCTTTGCATCTGACATTTTTCATAAGCACAGCACAGAAGCATTCAGAGCAAAAACCAAGGACCACACACCTGGAAGATAGCAAACATCATGCAACTTAGAGGTCTGTTATTAGAGTACTCTGCCACATGGAAGATATTAAGGCCCCACTTGTTTAAATCATTCAGCTCCTGTAAAGATAAATTCAATTATAACAAATCCATTCGACAAACAGACTTTTTAATACTGATAATGGTAAAATAGGTATATGCATTGTGTCTGTACCCTAGCCAGTGCGTCCTCCTGCTCGGTTTTGACCCCGAAGCGGGGCAGGGCTGCACTAGTGAGGCTCGAGCTATGTGTAAGCTTCTTGACTCCGCTGATGTGAGACATTGGTTTATCTCGCTCCCGAAGCGTAGGAGAGGGAATATCCACCTCGTTCTGCTTGTCTGGGACACAACAAATGCATGGACTTTTAACAGATGACGGCTAATTTCAAATAATTAAGCATTGAGTGTTTCAGAGCGGAGCGTGTACTCTACTATAACCTGCAATGTTGAAACTTAGGTTTTGCACATTTTTTGGAAATAGAAGCAAAGGGCTGAGATGTACAAAGCAGAGCGTGAGCGGACTCGCTTACCTAGGAACGTAGTGGAGATGTATTCGGACACCTGATTCCCAGATCGGCTCATCTCAGACAGATGAGACAGTTCCCTGTTTAACATCCTCTTGAACTAGAGATAGGAAAAGGGAAAGATGAAGACAGATAGACAGGGAAGAGAGGGGAGTTATCAGTATACAGAAGATGGTAATAATGCAGAAAATGCAAAGTTTTAGTCAATTTGAAAATAAATGGACATTATATAGATTATCACATAGTAAGATGTCAAATACGTGTCAAAAGTTCATCCCACAGTGGAATTAAAATTTTTATTAAAATTTAAAATTTTAAACCTACTTACTTTAATTGTATGGACAAAAACATAGAGGAAATAATCATACAGGTTTAGAACGACAGGTGGTTGAGTAAATTATGACAGAATTTATATTATTTGGGTGAACTAACCCATTACTATGGAAGCTTGTTTCCGCCACAGAATGAAAAATAAAAAAGGTAATTGTGACTTTTTATCTCACAATTCTGACTTTTTCTCACAATTGCGAGTTTACATCTCGCAATTCTGAATTTATTTCTCTGAATTGTGTGATATAAAGTCAGAATTGCGAGATGTTAAATCAGAATTGCGAGATATAAAGTCGCAATTGCGTGTTATAAAGTCGTAATTGCGTGTTATAAAGTCAGAATTGCGAGATATAAAGTCAGAATTGCGTGTTATAAAGTCAGAATTACGAGATATAGTCAGAATTGTGTGATATAGTCATAATTGCGTGTTATAAAGTCAGAATTGCGTGATATAAAGTCAGAATTAAGAGATATAGTCAGAATTGCGTGATATAAAGTCAAAATTACGAGATATAGTCAGAATCGTGTGATAAAAAGTCGCAATTGAGTGTTAAAAAGTCAGAATTGCGAGATATAAAGTCAGAATTGTGTGATATAAAGTCGCAATTGCGTGATATAAAGTCAGAATTGCGAGATATAAAGTCAGAATTACGAGATATAAAGTCAGAATTGCGAGATATTAAATCAGAATTGCGTGTTATAAAGTCAGAATTGCGAGATATTAAATCAGAATGCGAGATATTAAATCAGAATTGCGTGTTATAAAGTCAGAATTGCGAGATATAAAGTCAGAATTGCGAGATATAAAGTCAGAATTGCGTGATATAAAGTCAGAATTGCGAGATATAAAGTCAGAATTGCGTGTTATAAAGTCAGAATCGCATGATATAAAGTCAGAATTGCGAGATATTAAATCAGAATTGCGTGTTATAAAGTCAGAATTGCGAGATATAAAGTCAGAATTGCGTGATATAAAGTCAGAATTGCGTGATATAAAGTCAGAATTGCGTGATATAAAGTCAGAATTGCGAGATATAAAGTCAGAATTGCGTGTTATAAAGTCAGAATTGCGAGATATTAAGTCAGAATTGATTGATATAAAGTCAGAATTACGAGATATAGTCAGAATTGCGTGATATAAAGTCAAAATTACGAGATATAGTCAGAATTGTGTGATAAAAAGTCGCAATTGCGTGTTAAAAAGTCAGAATTGCGAGATATAAAGTCAGAATTGCGAGATATAAAGTCAGAATTACGAGATATAAAGTCAGAATTGCGAGATATACTGTAAAGTCGCAATTGCGTGTTATAAAGTCAGAATTGCGAGATATTAAATCAGAATTGCATTATATAAAGTTGCAATTGCATGTTATAAAGTCAGAATTGTGAGATTAAAAGTCACACTTTTCCTTTTTTTCCCAGAATTGTGACTATATCTCGCAATTCTGACTTTATATCTCGCAATTCTGACTTTATATTTCGCAATTCTGACTTTATATCTCACAATTGCGACTTTACATCTCGCAATTCTTGCTTTATATCTCACAATTGCGACTTTATTTCTAACAATTCTGACTTCATATCTCGCAATTGTGAGATAAAAAGCAATTATTTATTTATTTATTTTTTATTCAGTGGCGGAAACAAGCTTCCATACATTACGGCTTATATTCTCCTCTAATAATAATGCATAATAACAAAGCATAGGCATAATACATGTTGGAAATATCTGAATTATGTTACCTAAACATGCCGTGTATGTGGTACTGCCCGGTTATATAGAGCTTGTGCTTAAAGCGTGCAGAAATTTACATGCAAATAAACCTACGGCATTTCTAATGTTGTAGCTGTAACATAGTGTGGTTAGAGGAAGGGCCTGTATTTAATTAAAATCTAATTAAGTAATTGCCATGGGGGGGTAAACATTGTTGAATGAACTCACATCTCCACAAACCATTGCTTAACACAAAAATGATAACAGTTTTGTAGCAAAATATAAGAAACAAAATACGTGTCTCAAATGACTGAAATTGTGCAACTTCAGCAGATTACACAAGACAACTACACAGTCGCACAGCACGACTCCGATGAGACCCCTGGTCTGTCCCACTGACTGGTCCTTCACACATTACAATCTCCATGGAAACCAGCAGGTTTCCTTAGCAACTGTCTCCTCACAGTCCCTCCTGCAGCATGATGGGAGTGAGGCGATGGGTTGGGTGACAATCTGAGAGAGTAGGCAGGTGTCTGTCTCTGACCTCCTCCAAGGTCAACACTCTCTGTATCACTCTCCATCTATTCTGTTCTTCTCCATTCTGTCTTTAAGCCCTCCTTCTTGTTTCCTGTCTCTTTTCATCTCTGTCCTCCATAATTCTATCCTTTTTTTCTCTGCAGTCATATTTTTTCCATTGATTGTGTTTCTATTCATTCTCTTTCATGGTGTGCATCTAATTCCCTTCCTAGATTATATGGACGTCACGTGTGCGTACTGTGTATTAGACGTATGCAAATGTATCATTTATATTACATGCATCATTATCGTTGTTGTTAAATCTTCTATAGCTTGCAAAATATAACGTGTTTGGATGACATTGTCCCTGACATCAGGTTTGAAGACTGGCCGAATGCCTTAAATTAATTCACAATATCTAATCAAAAACGCAAATCTATGTTAAATCTAATTTTTAATGGAGTCCGAGTCATTTTCCTTTCACAGCCACACTATAAACCTGAATCTTCCTGAATGTTCTCTTAGGGACCAGTACACAATGTCTATCTCACACAGAGTTTATACAAATCTTCATTTACAAAACTCTCTTCCCTGTGCAAGTGCATATTACATACTGTACCAAGGATCTGTTTGTACTGTGCTGAGTCATTATTTAAACATTCACAGCGTGCCAACTGTTTTTAGCATGCATGCATCCTCTAGAGGACCAAGATGATACCAGATCATGTGGAAAGGAAATCAAACCAAATTAATATAAATATGTGTTACTGGGGGAGTCTGATACTATCTGTTGCCTTTATTATTCATTAAGACTAAGCTTGATGGTTGAGTTTGATGAAAGGGTGAAACTGGAAAAAACGTGGCAGCAACATGTTCATTTAAATCTTTAAAGGTAAATTACATTGTGATTGTATTATAGTCGTACCAATTTATATATAGGAATTGTATAATAATTATATTAAATGTATATGTTTTGAGTTAATTATTAATAAAATAAAAAAATAGCATTAATAACAAAGAATACTGTGTGGTAGGTCTTGGATTATGCTAATCTAAAATGCTGTGCTTGTGCATTTCAATGAGCTAATATCTACAGGTCGATTCAGCAAACATTCAACAATAGAAAACAGTTCCCTGAAACCACAGAGAGCATCCCTTTCCTTGTTGAAATGTGGCACAGATTGTGTCCAAATGTTTTTAATTACGTATACCCGGCAAGAACAAACCTCAAGTTTTACCTGTGATTGATTAAAAGGGATAGTTCACTTTGAAATTAATTTTTGATATGTTTTAGCTTACCTCGAGGGCATCCAAGATGTAGGTGTCTTTGTTTCCACAGTAGTTTCAATTTTGATATTTTTAGGTCAAACCGTTCTTGTCTGTCAGTCATATAATGGAGGTCTATGGTCACCACCTCAAAGAGCATGCACTGAGAAGTCCAAATTAAACATGATTTAATGACTCGTAAATGTAAGTACACATTGATGGCCTAAGACATGAAATGAGCGGTTTGTGTGAGAAAACGAACAGTATTTATATCGTTTTAACCTCACAAAGCGCCGTGCCCTCGGATCACTTGGACATGGCTGTGGTTACAAAATACTGTTCGTTTTCTCACACAAACCGCTCGTTTCGTGTCTTAGGCCATCAATGTGTACTTACATTTACGAGTCATTAAATCATGTTTAACTTGGACTTCTCTGTGCATGCTCTTTGAGGTGGTGACCATAGACAGACAAGAACGGTTTGACCTAAAAATATCAAAATTGAAAATACTGTGGAAACAAAGGCACCTACATCTTGGATGCCCTTGAGGTAAGATAAAACATACCAAAAACTAATTTCAAAGTGAACTTTCCCTTTAAGATGTGATTTGCTGGATAGAATTAAAACACAAACACTAACTCTGCCACATTTCAACATCCTCATGATCTGTGCCAAACGGTAAACAAGTCTTGGATGAAAGAACTATGCAGAAGAAAGCTACCAAATATTGAGCAGATAAAGCCTGTTCCCAGCCTGTGAGGGAATGATAGAGGAAATGGGAAGTTGAGGTATCCTGAGAACCAACTCTAGACACTAAAACAACGGCAGCCATTTGTTCCCAAGCTCTCAAAAGTGTCACCGAATAAGTGCCTAAGTTAGAGCTCAGGTTCGAAATCACACTCGAGGTCTGGAGACTGGTACACATTTAAAAACACAAGCAACATTGGTCTCATCACATGTCGTCTGTCCCAGAATCACCCAAGCAACTTTTCTCTACCCCCACATTTCTGTTTATCATCAAGTTTGTTAACAGATATTTAGCCACCTTTTTCCATTCATGCTGGCCCTACCTGGTCCCACCAACCAATCAGCCAGGGTTTGGAGCAGGTATCACAGAACAGATCCATGAAGGGGGTCCGACGCTCGGTGGCCTGACCACCCCCATCCAGCACCCCATCCCCAGCTGCCTCAAGCTCCAGCTCTGACCCTCTTCTCCCCTGCAGGGGGCTGTAGCTGGAGGAGTGGGCCAGCCGGTAGCCTCGGGGCACAGGTGAGGGCGTTGGGTCAATGGCCTCCACCACGCCCATGCTCAGGGTGACGGACGGCGCGGACCGCTGACAGAGGCAAGAGGCGCGGAAGTGCACGGGGGCCGAAGCGCGGCGGGTGCTCCAGCGGCATGTGGGTGCGCTCAGGGCGTGGGCAGAGAGGCCGCAGCCTAGCCGGCCAGGGTGCTCCAGAGTGACGGCTGCCCCCAAGAGGCGGGGAGCAAAGGGGTAAAAGTCCAGCGGCAAGGCTGTCTCTCTACATGCAGCAAGCAGTGTGACAACCGGGCCCTCCTGAAAACCACTGAGTGGGCCCCACCGCAATCCGCAGGCGAGTGTCCCCTGCAAACGGCCCGCCAGGAGCCGCCCAAATCCACAGGCCGAAGGAACTACATCTCATCCCAGCAGCTAAGTGGAGCTGACCCCGAAAGTGACGAGGGGTGGAACGGACAAAGAGACGCAACCGTCTGAAGGACACAGAGGATGCCGAGGGAAGGAGAACAGATGATTACAGGAGGGAAGGAGATGGAGCGAATAGCTGACTGAGGGATGACAGGACGAGGAAGGAAAACAACAACAACAACACACAGGTGACAGAGGACAACGGAAACAAGTAGACAGAAACACAAGACGAGACGGGGGCCTTTAGTCAAAAGCCAAACTACACAAGAGAGCGGTGCTTTGGAAAAACATCCTTTTTCTCTCTCCCTGCGTCGACGCCCCTCCCCCACCGCAGAGCTCCAGGACCCGGGCCCAGCGTTCCCAGCGAGTTTTGCTCAGAGCGCACAGTCCATGAAGCACAATACCAGTCCTGTCACAACGCAACTCTCTCCAGTTTAATCCACACGCGCCGATGCAGCTCAGCCAGTGCTCTGCCTCTCGCTCTGTTTCCCTGGATGCTGTAGACAGATCTCGCAAGCTAATCAGCCGCTGTGGCAGGAGGCGCGTGCTTGGGTGTGTGTGTGTGTGCGTGTACACGCAACCTAAGAGCGCATGTGCGGCAGACGGCATGTAAGAGCGTAGAAACTGGGCAAACGTGTGTATGTAAAGTCTGACAAAGAGACTACATCTCTGCATGAATGATTCTGCCGATATGAATATGGGAGTGAATGTGTGATTATGTGAGAGAGATATGTTGTAATACACACAAACAAACACTGCTTACTTGAAGCATCAGTGATATGTTGCATGGAAACAACCATACAAAAAAGCTTCACATTCAAAGTCACCGTACTGTCTCTTTAAGCAGGCGAGGTATGGAAGAGAGCAACCGATTTTTCATTGGCCAGCATCTAAGTCACATGCCTCATGGCCACAGTGAAGAGCCAATGGATAAACTGGCAGGGTAGACCTTGCTGCAGCTCGATAGCAACCAAGGTTACAGCAGAAACACTGGCATCAGGACCAAACTGCAGCCCCCTCCTTCCTCCCTCATGTCCAAACCCTGGTTGTTCTCCCTCTCTCTCTCTCTTTCTCTCCTCCTCTTCTACAACTCTCAACCCAGAGCAGCGTGTATGACAAGGCTGGCACACAAAAGCTATTTGCTTCCGTGTTTACGGATGATGATTAAAAATACATTAAAGAAAGGAACATCGCTCAGAAGGGACCGTATCAGATCCGGCACACACAACCTGCTCAAGACTCTTTCTCCGCATACAGTACGCATAGATGTAGTCCTTCATGTGTGATGATTCACAGAATGGCAGATCTTGAAACCTCTCCTTGAGGAAATCATGTAACATGTTTCGTAAAAATGTGCAGGATGGAAATTATAAACCATGAATGGATACTTGAAATGGAAAAAAATGTGATAGGCCACAAACTAATTGGTCTTTGAGAAGGTAGTGATTGAAGAAACACCTTGTTGGAAGCCATCTCGCTAACAGAGCGGTGGGTCTGAATGGTCTCCAGCTGGTCCAAACACCAGTCAAGTTCCTCCAGAGTCTCCCGAGCCAGCTGCTGGTATGTCTCATCTGCACAGGACATAAGACAGCCATCAGCATCACGTCACAACAGCACTGATGCATTCATTGAACACTCGCTGTGAGAACTTCGTTTGTGAACAGTGGGGATGTTGTTTCCTGACAGGAGGACATAAAGAATTGTCAGAGTGATGTCTTCAATAAAAAAAAAAAAAAAAAAAAAAAAAAAAAAACTTCCAATCATGAATATTTCAAGAGCTTCCTATGGAGAGATCAAATTTCTCATAAATAATTCATCTTTTTACTCGTAAGAATTAATAATCTTTAAAAAAACAAATAGGAATAAGTTTAAATTTCGGAAATCATGAAACATAAACCAATTTATAAATGTATAAAAATATCAACAAAAAGGAACTGTTACACTACAACTACAACAAATGTATTCAGTGTGTAGAAAAATAAGCATAGTCATTGCTCATACACTCTTAGATAAAAACGGTTCTATTTAGAACCAGAAATGGTTCCATCCCCCGCTTCATATATGGAACTCCAAAATGGTTCTATATAGAACCATTTTTTTTTTTTTTTGGTAAAAGGTTCTATTGGCCAAGTATGGAACCCCAGGGTTCTATATAGAACCCAGAGGAACCTTTTAGGGGTTCCAAATACGTAGCGCTGATAGAACCTTTTAAGGTTCTATATAGAACCTTTTCTTCTAAGAGTGTGGGTCTAATTCAAACAGCTAAAATATAAGGCAAGAAGTATGTGGACACCCCTTTATAAATACAAAAAAAATTATTTGATGAAGTCTGGCATGGAGGGACTGGACTGGCCTGCACAAAGCTAAGGCAAAGCTTCAGTGTCTGACCTCATTAATGCTTTTGTTGAACATTAATTTCAAAAGCATTAACCTCTCCTTTTGCAGCTTACACTCTTCTAAGAAGTTGTTCGCCTATAGATGTGTGAGTCTGCATCACCAAGGGGTAATCTTTCTTTTTGGATTCAAATTAGACCTACCTTTTTATGCAATTGACTTTAAAAAAAGATGACAGTCAGTTGCATAAAAAGGTGCATTGGTCTAATTGGAATCGGAAAAGCAAGACTGATTTCTTATCTAAATGCTAGTTGGTCAATCTAGGTCTTAAGACACATTCTTAGCATACAGGCTTTGTTTATGCGACTGGCTCTTGGTAATGGGGCCTGGATTGCCATTACAATTCCACTTGATACCCAAATTTAAAAAAAAAAAAAAAAGCATACAGCATACATATTGCATTTAACTAACATATTGACTAATTAAACCATTTCTGTTGAATGCTCCTGCAAAATTAGATTAGATTAGATTTATTTGACCACTTAAATATAAAAATGTGAAGAACAGTAAGAAACTGTTGCATACATTAAAAACAAATACAAAAGTAGTCAGGGATAAACACAATAAAGCCCGAAGACTTATTTCCATTGTGGTCCCTAAAAAAGAGTTAAAAGCTAGCAATTTAGAAAACTGTCTAGTCCACATACTTACTTAGTCATATAATGTACATTAAAATATCTGATAAAAGTTATATTCTATAGAATTCAATTTTATTTTATTTTCTCAACATGTTCAGAACGTTCACTGCTTATATGCCTCAGAGTTTATTTTTTAAACTAGCGGCTGAGGGCTGTTATTTGGCTAGTTAAAGCATCTGGTTAGATTCCAGCCCCTGTTTCCCATATGGCTCCACTATTTCTGATGCTGTAATGTATTTTTCTGGCAACAGTGTCTACAAGAGGAAGTGTATGCGTAATGTGAGAGACACTGTGTGGGAGAGTGCTGGTGTGGGAGATAGAAAGCTCGCCAGTGACTAAGTTACAGTACAGTAAACATACCTGAGAGCGTTGCTGGGGGAACCGTTGGTTGGCTGGTCACTGGTGACCTCCTGTGGACAAAAAGATAATTACATCAGTGATAGATGTAGAGGTCGCCCTCTACTGGTATAAATTCAATTAGACTTGCTCACTTGTTATGGATCGAGAAAATAAAGTAAAATATTACATGGCAAAAAATATATGTTATATATTTATATATAGTTGCACATTATCTAATACAAATGTCAAATTTTAAAATATTTATTTTCACATAAAAAAAATTAAGTCAAGATTAAGAGTTAAGCCGTGTGAATTGCATTATTTTTGTACAGTGTTTTTATTTATTCATCATAAAAAATAAAAATAAATTCTGTATTGGAAAGGAAACACTGACGGCCATAAGGGGGCAGAGCAGAAATGTAGAAATTGTTGCATCAAAGCTAAAAACTGACTTGTTAGTGGGAGTCGTGACGTTGGCGAGAATGGTGAAGTTGCTTCTGACAGTTCGTAGACTAGCCAACACCTGCGTTAAAGGGGCAGAGAGGAGAAAAAGCGCGAGAGCAAGTGAACAGCAGGATATCACTCAACTCCAACTCAGCAAGTCATGACAAGCAATTAGCACTCATTATATACTATTTGCCAGACACAACAGAGGCTTACCTGAGCAAAAGGGGTGACTATGAGATCTTCAGCATGACTACAGAAAGAGGAAAGAGCAGTCCCAGTAAATGGGGAGGAAAAAAAAAACACTACACATTTTGGTAAATGAACACAAATGGTCTTTTATAGTATTAAGATGATGCAAGGAATCATCCCCAGTTGTGAGGAAATTGATTAAGCAAACATCAAAAAATGCCATCCAGAGGTGGCAGTCACGGTGGCCACTGAGAGCGTGAGCATTTCTGAGGGTGTAACAGCATTATAGTGAGACGGGTAAAGAGGGATTTAGTTGATGTGCTTAATGCTGCATGGTGATTCTGGGATAAAGGAACTTCCTCCGAGGCCTTTTAGAAATGAAACGTGAAGACAGTAAACAGTGAAAGTGTGCCGTTTGTTGAGGGAGACGGCTTACCCCTCGCTGTTGATTGAGGAGTTTCGTGACATGGTCTTCGGGGACATGTCGTAGTCAGAGTCAGAGCGGTAGAGAAAAGATTCCCTTCTCTGGCTCTGAGGGAAGGGGGGATGGAGCACCAGCCCAGGACTCGCCTGCGAATCCATAGGGCTGCGGCCAGGAGAGGGCCCATTCTCCCCATCATAGCTGTGGAGACAGATCAACCAAAAAGACATGGAGGAGAAAGTTAAAGCAAATGTCTTGTTATTTAGCTCGAACGGAACGATGATTTGCAAGTGGCCGCATTCGATTTCCAGTCTCTGGCCAACACAGCACAGATAGAGATGTGGAGCACAAACAATCATGATTGCCACTTACTCCAGAGAAAGCAAACGCTCTCTGAATGTATAAAAAGCTGATGAAGACTGCGTCACCCTGAAGAACCATTAAAGGAAATCACCAGCCTAATCAGAGGAGAATCTTAAGCTGCCACTTTACAATTTATATTCTTTAGGCACTTTGTGGTTTAAAGGAACAGTTCACGCAAAAATTAAAAAAAAAGCTGTTATTACCTAGCCTGGATGCCAGCCCAACATTTTTTGTTCGGGAAGTTAGGTCTGAACTCGATCCATTGAGGAGAAATTATGATCAGTCAAAAAATGAACGGGCCAATCAGATTGCCAGGGCGGGCTTTATACGATGATGGACGTAATCGTCGCGTTATCAAAGAGCGCTTAACTGATTTCCCTCAGAGATGACTGCAGCTGGAGAATTGAGATGTATAGACCCTTTTACAGTTGGTAAACATGGTGACGTTTTTTTGTGGGCGGAGCTTAGGTGGAGGCAGAAAGATCCATCTGGCCGCTTCACTAACGCTAGTTAGCAAGGATTGTTAGCTTGTTTTTTAATGTGTAAGATCACTCAGTGTCCAGGACCGCGATTGTTATTTCCAAAAGTTATTTTTAACGGACGGAACCAGATTGGCCGACCCGTAGCCGCCTACACGCTCACTCAATGCATGGACGATCTGACAGGATTAACGTACGTTACCTCGGTTGAGTGGCCTGACTTCTACACTTACCTTATAGAGAAAACGATCGTAAAGAGAAACTGAGGGCATATAAATCTTTAGATCCCTATATGGTCCTGTACAAGACTTGTGTGTATGATCCGCAGCCAGCGCCGAGACCACGACAATGTAAAGAGTGACATTACAGTGCGATTTTAATGATGTGAATATTTTCTAGAAATAATAGTTCCAGATACAGCATATTCATTTTTCATCAATTCTTGCACCCAACAACACAACAAGATGACATTTAATAATAGTAACAATTATTTAAGCTCCTTATTATGTAGCCGAATCTGTGCTGGTTTGTATTGGCCGCCTCCAGTTTTTACTTTGTTTTGCCTCCAGCTAGCGCCGTGACGTAACTGAGACGTCGGCGCAAAAGGGGTCTATAGATTCCGCTGTCACGTCTGTTGTGAAATAAATCGAAAGCCCATTAATCTTAATAGACAAACAGAGAACTGCAATTAAGGCATTTGTCGGAAAGATATTTTTGCCGTCCTTCCTACATGATTCGGGAAAAGTGTAACTTATCAGCTGGCTCTGACGGTGGTTAAGAAGATGGGACGTAATGAAAAGCCTGTGGTCGTTGTGGTTTGTCCTTTGGTGGCACTCATGGAGAAGTAAGTAAAAGAAGCAACACTCATTATTTTACTTCTAAAATAAGTAAGTTGTATTGTTGAAAACTGCGCTATGTAAAGTAGTTGACTGCGTTGCTTTGATTGGTTGTAGGTCTACCAACTATCTAATTGAGTGCAGACGTTTTTTTTCCTGGTTCGGTTAAGACACGCCTCATCAAAGCCCTACGGAGCAGTTTCAGACTCATATTCTGACTAGAATATGAGTATGATGAAGTCAGGCTAGTTATTACCTGCTTACCCTACTCAGGTATCTTTTTTTCTACACAAGGAGAAAGATAAGCTGTCAAGCTCCAAAAAAGGACAAAAACACCATAAAATAGCCCAAAGGACTTGGGTGTTTATTACAAATCTTGGGAACAAATATAAAAAATTCTTATCTTCCCCTTCACAGAAGGTTTAATGTCACTGACACAAAAATAAAATTGCATTCCTGTAGCTCAAACAGTAAGCTCACTGCTTTTATTCCCAGCGAGTGACTGAAATGATAAAAAAATATATAAGTGGTATTGAATAATGCATAAGTTGGTTGTGATATGGCAGTACAAATATGCAAAATTGAGAAATTCAGTACTTAATTCATATGAAAATGGTGGACTTCTTTTATTGCTTTTTTTGTCCTTTATGTTACACACAAAAAAAACAACAACAACATGAGGGTGAGTAAATAAATCTATGATTTTAATTTTGGGCAAACCACTTCTTTAAGCTTATCACTTAACGTCGACATCTGTGGACGGACTAATCCGCACAGTTTTTGGCATTAAACGTGACTAGTGGAAAAGTACCGGATACGGTGTCTGACCCCATCTGGGGTTATAATATGTACTGTATTTGTTCAGTTATCATGGCTCAGTGATAACGAATGAAAACTAGTCATCTGGAGAGCCTAATGACTGCACAGCTGAAAGTGAGCCTGGAAGCTATTGCAGGTCATTCGCCAGTTGTAAACAACACATATAATGCCACCAAAGTAGGAAGTAGGAACTTGCAATAGAATATGCCAAGAACAGCTCATCCTTGAGCTGAAGGCCAGGAGCCATTTGACTGGGTTTACTAGGGGCCTCATGTACGAAGACTTGCGTTGAATTCATACTAAAATATTGTAAAATATTGCGTACGCACAAAAACAAAACAAAAAAAAAACAGATGTATGAATGATCCCACGCATATTCTCTTTGTACATCCCAAATAACGTAAAATTGAGCGCACACGCACGAGCACAAAGCCCCACCCACTCTCCTCCCTCAATTAAATTAATTTAAAAATGGTAGTCCAATTTGGCAAAAGAAACATGAGCAAGAACATGGCTAAAGAAACCTGCAAGAAACGAAATTTCACTGAAAATGTCTTCTATGTGAATATTATGTGAAAGTGTAATTTATTCCTTGTGATCAAAGCTGAATGTTCAGCATCATTACTCGTCTTCAGTGTCACATGATCCTTCAGAAATCACTCTAATAGGATGATTTGATGATCGAGAAACATTTATGAATATTATCAGTGTTGAAAACAACTGTGCTTCATATTTCCATGGAAACCGTGATATAGTATTTTCAGGATTATTTAATGAGTAAAAACTTAAATCAAACACATATAGAAATCTTATAATCTTTGTAACATTATAAATGCATTTACTGGCACTTTTAAACAAATTCAATGCGTCCTTGCTGAATAAAAATATTACTTTCTTTTTTTTATCTTTACTGACCGAATGAATGAAGTTTATTTTTTATTCAGGGTTTGCACATGCTTTATGTTCTTGCTTAATTGCATAATAGGCCTAGAATATAGAAGACTCACGTGACATAATTTATAATTGATATGTTATTTGACATATTATTAAGCAATATCTGACAGCTGGTCGTGCGACAGAACAATTCGTAGTGTAATGTTTGCCACTTCACTTTATTGCCTCTATCAGTCGCCAACGGACAAACATCAAGGCATATGTACGTACGCCAGACATGAAGTTTACTTGGAGGAACGCACATTCTTACTACAGCCAGACCGATATATCGGCACAGACCGATATTATCGGCCGATATTAGGCATTTTTCAAACTATCGGTATCGGCAGTTATAATGGCCGATAAATTAATATGTCAAAAATAACATAAAAACAGACGAAACACGCTTGAACCATGCCATGAGTGTTGGATTTGTATAGTTTGTCCACCAGAGGGCACTAAACACCGTTCCTGTTGGCTACACTCGTTGAATTGTTCACGACACATACATACATTGCTTGAATAACAATTAAAAGATCATCCCCATCCATTCTCTTAACTCAAATAAGCATGACAATATTTGTGACTATCATGTCCAGTTTAAAAAAATAAAATAAATAAATAAATAAATGAAATTATCGGCCGATATATCGGAATATCGGATTTTAAAACCCAAAAATATTTGTATCGGTATCGGCCTTCAAAATCCTTTATCGGTCGGGCTCTAATTCTTACGTTAATTTCACTGTTAGTACATCTGGCCGTGAACGTGAAAACTGGCGTACGCCGTGTTTTTGTACGTACGCAGTGTTGATACATAAGGCCCCCGCATTCTTAGAAGAAAAGGTTCTATAGACCATTTCACAAGATGTAAACAACACTGGTCCAGAAGCACTTCCTGTTTCAGTTTTTTAACACTACATAAAAGCTGGGATAAAATACAACCAACAGAACATTTAAAACTGAATCAAAAAGTTAAACAAACATCTTTAAGATGGTTTCTTTACATGTGAAATAAAGAAAACAGTTACAAACTGAAACAGGAAGTGTTTCTGGACCAGTGTTGTTTACATCTTGTGAAATGGTCTATATAGAACCTTAAAAGGTTCTAAAGCGCTACGTATTTGGAACCCCTCAAAATTCAAGATATGGGGGTTAAAAAATGTAATTAATCAATCAATATCACAGGTTTTATCCTCAAAAAATCTGCATGATTAAAATGTGACATTAACTTACTAAAACAGTTTAATAAACAATAACTTAAAATGTTGCAGAATAATGTAATATATGAATAAATAATAGCCTATAAACAACCATTGTGCCAAAAGGGTTCCCAGATAGCAAACTGACATTGAATCAACGTGGAAATATGACATCGAAACAACGTTGATCTGACATTGTTTTGCTCATCGAATTAACGTTGAACCAACGTCAGACGCGTCATTCTTTCAAAACTAACGGAAAATCAACTTGAAATCAACGCGTTGTTTCAACGTTATGAAAGCAAACCAATTTTCGATTTCATTTAGCTTTGAAGAATGCCGCGTCTGACGTTGGTTCAACGTTAATTCGATGAGCAAAATCAACGTTGTTTCAATGTCATGAGAGACGTCGTTTCCACGTTGATTCAATGTCAGTTTGCTGTCTGGGTTCTTTCTTGTCATTATAGAACCTTTTTTTAGCATAAAAGTTCCTTTGGAGTTGAGTAAAGAACACTATGCTTCAAATATAGAACCCCAATGAACCCTTTTTTCTAAGAGTGTGTGCTCCT